AGGGCAGGGCTGGGGTTGGCTCTGGTGCCTGAGCCAGAAGAAGAGCAGGCAAAATGGGGAGAAAAGGGAGGAAAGTAAATCCCAGCTAGAAAGAGGTTTTGGGGTTTTTTTTAGTGGAAACAGGACTAAAAGACTCTTGTCTCCAACAAAGGGCATATTCCATCTCCTCTTGAGTGATGGAGCTTTTGTTGTTAACATGCTCAATTAATAGTTGACAGACCCAGTCCTCGTCAGACCCAAATTTTGGCCAACCCCCCCCCCCTCCAAATACCAAAGGCTTTAAGATCAGTTCTTTGGTCCAGATAAAGCAACAGTATTTAACCACTCTTTGTTTCTTTTTCCTTTAGTACAGGGGCTATCACCCCAACATTTTAACATCTTCCCTAGGGGGCTATCAGAGGGTATTTTATCCTGGGCCTTTGTTTTTTGGCTCCCCCTCTTTGCTGCCTTTATTTCCCATTTCTCCCTTCTGCTCGACTGTGCTCTGTCTCTCAGGAGCTCAAACCGCCGCCCCCCCTTGCCTTGGAGGTTTCTTGCACTCTGATTTTTTTTTTACTTTGTCTGTCTCTACTCACGTCCTTCATGGGAGCTTGACGCACCTCTTGGTAGCTGGCAGGCCAGTATAAACTGCTGACCTGGATTGATTCAAGAGTCTAATTCTGCCTTAAACAGTATGAGGTCACCTCAGAACTGAGATCAGGACTCTGCTTTCCCTGTGTGTCACCTGACATTTCTCATTCACACATCACACAGCCTCCAGTATCCTGACCACCAATACGTTACTTGGTCACCCCCATGACATTTCTTGTCTTGGTTTGTGCACAAAACTTATGTGGTTGCTGTGGTTCCTGTCTTCAGAGCACTTTTACCCAAGTCATCAAGAAATTCTGCAGTCCAAGTTCATTTGCAGATCTGGAAAGTTGTCCTTGGCCAAACCTCGGGCTGCTGCAAACAGGAAGCAGGACACATCTCCCTGGGGAAAGGCTGGGACCTCCTTTCCAGACCAAATGTTAAATACCGATGAGCCCCCAAATTGTTGGAATTGATAACTCTCAGGTGCCAAAAAACAGACACACAAGAAGACAGAAAATCTAGACAAGGCAATTTCTCTTGATCAAGAGGGGGCAAGCATGTGCTCACTCCCGCTAAGCCACACGCAAGCACAAAATGGCTGACAGTGGCTCCTCCTTATATCCCTGATGCAGTTATACCTGCCCCTCACCTGGGATTTGTTCAGGTCAAAGGTTCACAATCTTCCCGATTGGCTAAAAGGCTTGGGGGATGGGTTAGGGCATGCAGTTTGGTGGGCAATGGAGTCATACAGGAATCTGGAAGAAGAAGCAAGGACCCTTTAAACATGCAAGTCACCTAAGATGGTGACCTGAGGAATATTTAAGTAATCTAAGAGGGTAACAAATACTTTGATAGAGAAGATCATTTTTCTTACATGTTGAACAAATGAACTTATAATACTTCCCCATTTTGGGAGTCTGAAAACATAGCAGTCATGGGAATTGGATAGGGACTGGGATACACCTGAGCTTAAAACCCAAGGTCACTTCCAAGCTGGGATCTTCAACCACATAGCCATGAACTTAACCCAGGGGTGGCACAGTTTTTCTGTAAAGGATCAGACAGTAGATTTTCAGCCTTATGGGCCATATAACTTCTTATGTAACACTATTCCATGCTGCAAAAATAGCCAGAGATGATACCTCAACCAATAGGTGTGGTTGTGTTCTCATAACCCTTTATTTACAAAAATAGGTGGCAGAAGCTGTGTAGAGTGGATCACATCTGTAATCCCAGCTACTCAGGAGGTGGAGATTGGGAGGATCAAGGTTTAAAGCCAGGCTCAGCAAAAAGTCAGCAATACCCTATCTGAAAACAATAAACTGGGTGGGGTGTGGTATGAGTGCCTATCATCACAACTATGCTGGAGGCATATATAGGACAACTGCAGTCTAGGTCTGCCTGTGCAAAACTGTAAGACCATCTTTGAAAAGAAAAAGCAAAAGGAGGTGGAGGCATGTCTCAAGAGGCCCTAAGGTCAATCCCCAGTCTGCCAAAAAAAAAAAAAAAATCATGAGCATTCAAATGTGACAGCCCATGAGTGCAGCACTGGGTCTTGCTCTTGTTGTCCTTGGGCAGGACTGCACTTATTCCACCTCACCAATTCCATTCCATTCAGTCTGCTGAGTGCCACCACCTGGGACAGGCATGTGAGATATCTCACAGCCGGCTGTGAGATAGTACTGGAAACTGCTTTTGCCAAAAAAGCACTGACTCCTCACTTGAGTCTCAAGTGAACTAAAAGCTGGAGAAAAGCCTGGCATCTCTGCCTCCACTTTACATCTGTCTTCTTGGCTCTGAGTGCTTCTCTTCTGCAGTCTTCCTGGATTCTAGGAACAACTGGTCTGATTATAAACATACTTTTTTTGTGTGTCCACAAAAGCAAACTGTAGTAGGTATACTACCTACTATATAACTTATTTTTTATTGACAGTATCTTCCACTCATGATAGGTGTCTGACTTTTGCCATACACTTTAATGGTAAAGGTTTAATTACTCTATTACATGTAAGTAGAGTGAATACTTCTCCCCACAGGGACATTGATTATAAAAAGATGACAAACCACATGAATTAAATGTCTTTTTTTAATTGAAAAGCTAATAAATTGTCTACTTATATTTCTCTCCCAAAAAACACAAGCTAGGCAGTAACTGAGCTCTAAGCAACATTTCAAAGCTGAGAAGATTTAAAAAAAAACTCTTCAGGTCAAATTAAGAGAGCCATGCTAGATGTAGTTTAATCAATGCCAGTGGTACCTGCTTGACTCTAGGGGGCGGGAAGACCTCCCAATATCCCCACCTGGAACATTGACTTCAAGTAGGTCTCCCTCTTCCAGTTTACAACTTACGAAGAAAGATAATAAAACTTTTTGCAAGTTCTTTTATCTATAATGCTAACTTTTAAAAGCTTAACTAAAGTTAACTGGACAAGAAACTAGGCAGAAATTGCTTGACAGAAAGAGGGAAAGCCCCAATTGCCACTTTCTACAGAGCACCCACAGTCCAGTTTTGTTCAGAGTAAAGAAGAAAAAAAACCAAACAAGCTCTAGCTCATCCTAGCAGAATCTGTACTCAAACTACACATGCAATGAGGACAATCATGTTAGTATAATTGATGTGCAGCTTCATTTGTCTACTGTTTGTCTAATATTAACAATTACAAGCCGAGCAGTGCAACTAGTATTTGGAACAATTTTTATAGTGTTACAGTGTCACACACAATATTTCACTTCTCTTCACACCACTGGTTCTCTTTGCGTGCCTGGGCTTCCTCCTTTTCAGTACAGTTTTTTTGACATTGAAGCCTTTGCAAATCTCTTCAGGAGTTTTCCCCTCAATCATATTGACAACAGTCTTGCAAGTAGCATCAAGCAGACCTTTGATGTCTAAGTAGTTTGCAGCCAGAATAAGTTCAAAAATGTTCCTTGATCAACTTTCAGGAATTCTTGGTCCCCCATAAGGCTATCATATGTTTGCTTTTCTTTGTTGTCATCATCCTCAGGAGGATGACAAGGGTCATCCTTGTGGTGGGTGCACCACTGAGTGATCTTTTTTAATATTGCTGCATTAACATTTGGTGGAGGAACTGAGTCATCCTCTCCTTCATCAGCCATTCCCAAATCTTCCAACATGGTCTTAATGGTCACAGATTGTTTGGCAATTTCTACATCAACTTCAAACATCTCTCCATCAGAACTCTACAACTTAATTGAAGCATAGTGTTTGGTCTCAAGAAGACAGCTGGTTGGAGACTGACGGAAGTGGTGCAGCATCCACACAAGGTGAGGACAAGGCCACTGGATTATAAACATCTTTATGAGAAAGAATGAAGCTATCCCAAACAACTGGGAACTTAGAAGGACAAATCATCCCTCAAATGAGGGTAAATACCTATGAAAGCTAGGCTGCATCCTGTAGCAGGAGCAATCAACTCATAGAAACCCTGATTATTCCCCTCCAGCAATAATGACTTCTTGGGCCACCTTGAAGAACTAGAATTGATAATGATTCCACCAGACCACAGTGTGACCAAGATTACTTAATTATGCATACCTCTTTGGCAATTGCCCCAATTCTTCCTCAATAAGCCTAAAGCTCAAGTCAATATCCCTAAGACATACTGGAGTCACTGAACCCCTTTCTCTGTTTTTGGCAACATTGCCACATTGAATAAATCTTTGTCTTTCGCCATTTCTTGTCTCTTTAATTGACATATCGGACCAGTGGTTGAGCATAGTCTGGACTGGAGTGTGGCTTTTGCCCTTAAACTCTGATAACAACTCTAAACATTTGAGAAGTAGCATTGTTTAGGGATTAAGATAATGGATTCAAGAAAGAACCAGCCCGTTCAGGTTCTAATTCTGGCTTGGTCACTCAAGATGTATTGTGACCTTGGGAAAATTAATTTCTTGGCGTTTGCTAAGTGCCCTCATTTGTTCTAGCTGTAAGACGGGGGTGAAAATAAGGGAGTTCATCTCTCGTGGGTTTGTGATCAGGATTAAATGGTTCTGCACACTCGCATCACCTGGGACTCTAAGATTCCAAAACCCAGATTACACGCAGACTAATGAAATCACAACAGACAAGGGATCATCAGTGTGCCTAAACTCCCCAGGGAGGTCCAACACGGTGACAAATTTGGGGACTTTTAGGTAACTTTGACCTTTCACTCCCTCTCGCGTCCCCTCGTACCACTGGTCCTGGACCCCAGCTCATTGCGAAACCGCAGCCGGGGTCTCCCCGGTCCTCTGGACCCAGAAGCCCCGCCCATGCATGCTGGGATTTGTAGTCTTGCCCGGCAAGCCTCATTCTTGTCTCCTATTGGTTTTCGCAGATACCACGCCCTAAAGCCCCACCAATGATCGCCGTGCAGTAGTCCCCAGCGCGGGGAGCGGCGGCGCTGCGGCTCAATCACAGCGGGGCGGGCGTCAGGCGGTGGCTGGTCAGAGGCTGCGCGACTCCAGGAGTTCCCACGGCCCTGCTGTCTCCGCGCGCGCTGTCACCGCCGCAGGTAACCGCGGGCCCTGGAGGGGGTCCGGGGCTGGGATCCATCCGTGCCTCAGGCTGGGGCCGCCGATCTGCCTCAGCTCTTTGCCCTGTGGACCGGGATTTTCATTTCCCCAGCCTCTGAGTAATCTGTTTCTCACCTGCGCAGGGGAATTTCTTGAATCCCGAGGGAAATCCTGAGACCTAGCAACCCGATGTTTTATGGTGGGGGGGGGTGGAGGAGGAGGGCTGTCTTTTGTCCTGCGTGCTGTGGCTGGAACGGCGCTTTGCGGAGTGGGGACACCTTGGCACGAAGCTAGGCGCTGTTTGCTCTAGGGTCCCCCAGTCAGGGAATGCCCGGCAGGATCCGGGGCTTGGTTTACCCTCAAGGAACAGTTCAGGCTGTTGATGCTTTTAATGTGGACGATTACACCCGTGGGGAAGGGTTGTTGCAGACAACAAAAATACCCAAGCAGAAATACCCAAACCATCCCTTCGCAGCAGAAATTCAGGGAAGCTCTGAGTGCCAAGATTTGACGTGGTGAGGGTTTCGGGGTCATCCACATCAACCAGGAAAGTGAAAGTTAGCCGGGTGTGGTCCCCTGCATCTATTAGGTTTAGGATTATTCTGTGGCAAGCACTGAAAAATCTAGGGGCTGAAAGGAGGAACTTTGTTCCACATGTTTTGTTTTATAAATGAAAGTGACTGCCCAGGGTTTGAGACTTGCCCTGTGGTATGTGGTGAGAGTAATAGGCCAGCTCCATAGCAAACACTTACTGTGCTTTTGTTTTGTTTTTGAGACAAGTTCTCACTATGGTAGCTCAGAGTGGCTTCCAATTCACTATGTAGCCCAGCCTGCCCTTGAACTCCTGATCCTTGTGCCTCAGCCTCCCAAGGGATGCCGGGATCACAGGCATGTATCACTATGCCCCACCCTTTACTAAACTTTTCCAGATGAGATTATTTTGTAAAGGAGAGAGACAGCCACTAGTGAACAATTCCATTGTTACAGGAGCACAGGTGTGAACAGGGACAAGGTTGGGAAGGGTTAGGACCTCACAGAGAAAGGGATGCTTGAGTGAAGTTGGAGGGGTGGGCAGGAGCTAGTGAGATGAACAAGAGCAGTGGTTCTGGAAGGCAGCATGGTGAAGGCAGGCAGGAAAAGAACAATGCTTTTGCACTTGGAGCTGTGGTGCCTGATTGGAGCAAGGGACTTCATGAAGGTGGTGAATTGAGCGGCAAGAATACCGGGACATGTTTCAGGTCCCTGTGCTGCTGTGAGAAATGTGGGTGTTGTCCGGAATGTCCAGGAAGCTGCATTTAGTTTTAGATATTCTGTAGGGGAAGATGTTGGAGAGAAACCACACTAAGAGGTCCCTGCAGTAATCCCCAGGTGAATTATGGAGAGTTTAAAAGAAGGTAGCAGTGGGAAGGGAGAGGAGAAAAGATTCAAGAGCAGTTAAGGATGTAGAATACATCATACCCAGCATGGTTCACTAAAAATACAGCCATGCATTGCTTAGTGATGGGGATTTGTTCTGAGAACATGTCAGTCTATTTCATTGCAAAGCAAATTTCATGGTACCTGTTAATCTGCACATGGTCTCTTGATGTGAACAAAAGATGTAGTGCACAGGAGATGTAGGAAGTTGCTGTTGGTGCAACATAGCCTACTGTTTTACAATAATCATTTTTTACATAACTAGGAGTACAACTTAAAATAATAATAAAAATATAACATAGTAAGTACATAGCCTGTAACAGTGGTTTAATGTCATTAACAAGTGTTACGCACTTGTTAATTACATGTGCTATCCTTTTTTACTGGCAGTGCAGGAGGTTTACAGAATCACCCTGTAACATTATGACAGTGACAGTGTCATTAGCTATAGGAAATTTTCAGCTCCATTATAATCTTATGTGTACCGTTGTTGACCAAAACATCATTGTGCAGTGCACGACTGTATATTGAAGCGAACGAACTATCTCTTGAGTTATCCTACCTCTGTCTTTTGAAGAAATTCTGAGCACTTTTTTTTCACTGCAGAAATTGCTTAGTAGAACATAATTTCAAATCCAGTTTATGATGGGGAAGTTGTCATCTGTATGGAGGGTGCTGAAATCTGAATGATTAAAGAAACATAAGATTCAATTTTTTGTAACTCAGGAAATGCACATCAAAACCACAATAAGGTCACTCTGTCTCCATCAGATTAGGAATAGTAAAGTTTGATACTATCTAGAGATGATCAGTGCTTGAAGAAGTTGAGATTGTCCTTTACTGCTGTTACAAGGGTATCTTAAAGATAGAACAGTGTAGCCTCTAGCAAAAGGGTGTATTGCAGCTGTTGGCAAAATGGGTATGTCTTAAGACCAAGTGGTTGCAATTCTGTAAATTTGTATAGAGGGCTATTAGGGTGTTTATTGCAACATTGTAAAGAGAGGGATGTTAGAGTGTTTATTGCAACTTTGTTTATAAAGTTTATAAAAATTGGAAACAGCCTAAAAGTCCAGTAGAGGGGAGTGTTTACAGAGTGGATATTTATCTTTTAAAAAATATAATGAATTAATTGGAAAGAAATGTTAATTTAGGATAGTGGTTACCTTGGGATGTGTGGAGGATGTGACTGTCACGTGTTAGGGGTGGAAAGGAACTAATAGATTTACAAAATATTAATAGCCAATGGTCTAGGTAATAGGTAACAAGTGTTTTATGTTATTCTTTGTACATTTCTGAATTTTAATATCTACTCCTAAATTTCTTGAAGTAAAAACTGTATTAAGTACAGTTTAAGTAAAAATCTGCCCAGCACCGGTGGCTCACGCCCGTAATCCTAGCTGCTCAGGAGGCAGAGATCAGGAGGATTGCGATTCGAAGCCAGCTTGGGCAAATAGTTTGCAGGACACTATCTCGAAAACTCCTTCACAAAAAAGGGCTGGTGGAGTGTAAAGTAAAAATATAACCCAAGAATTAACATGTGGCTATACAGTCATGTTCAGTCATTAAAATAATAATTTGGATAAAAGAAAATTCAAACACCAAATAACATTGGAAATAAAATGTGGAGAAGCTATTAATCATTGACCAGAATTTCCTTTGCTGGATACCCCTAAAGCCTTCTAACCACTAGTGGATCTAAACAAGTATCTTTGACTGTGTTAGGAAATATGTTAGTTGCTTTTGCTTTCTGTAGTGTTAAAAGATAGTTTTCAAAAAAGATAAAGTTATCACTCTGTACAGATAGAAAAATGAACATGTTAAGGATTTAATTTAAGTTATTGGTGAGGAAACTTGGTATTATATATAGCTGGCTCGAAGGAGTCTCCAAAGGACATCTGAAGATGAGAAATATTGAAGTGAATGTGCAAGTGGGAGGCAAAACTGGACTGAGGAAGGAAGTCAATTGAAGCTTCATTTGATAGAATCATTTGCATGTCTATAGTGAAGAATTACTGGCATTGCTGTTATCTGCAGTATACAGAGTTAGAAAATCATGTTGATGGAATCAGAATTAGATGGCCTTGAAAGGTTATCTTATCTAAAATCTAGTCTGCCACTGAGTCAAAAATTTTCTCTATAGAAAAAAATGATAAGCTAACCTGAATAAAATATGCTTTTCATTTGAGATAAGATGTAGTTGAATTTTGTTCTGATCCTATTCTTTAAACAGAATACCAAAGGATTTGAGAATGGAATGAACCCTTAATAATTCCTACCATTTCATTTCACACATGGACAATTAAAGCCCAGAGGAAGGATCTCCCCTAACTTAGTAGCTGTGTGTCTTGTTTTAAAGAGAAATGACAACAGATAATGGGGGAAAAAAGCCAGCAAGAAAGAGTTTCTTCTAGCTACTGCAGAAGGAAAGAGAGGCTGAGGTATACAGCTAACCTCAACTCTTAGTACAACAAAGTTCTCTGGGGATTTATAATCCCTGGACGAGATGAAGGACCCATGGAATTCCTTCAGCTTTTAGTGTTCAGTGTGCTGAGGTGCTATATTTTGGGGATAGTACATCTTAAACCCTATCAATGGGAAATTACCAAGAGGAATTTAATTAGATATCAACAGTTTTTTTTGTTTGTTTGTTTAATGTGATTATCTAACTGGCTGCTTTGTTTGGCTTTAATGGCTTATTGTGCCTAACCCAGAGCCAATAACAGATGATGCTGGCAGTGAGAGGTTTAGTGATGGTTGAGGTATGTCACATGTGGCTTTGAACTTGACCCAGCTACTTAAAAGGCCCTTTGACTTTGGCTTCATTACCTGTATTGCTCATGGCAGTTTATCTGGAATGGGCACTCCATTTGAAACCTTCCAAATGGATCAAACCTCACTTGCTAGTACATTTCTTGCATTTGGATTGATTCCTTCACTTGAATCCTGAGCTATTGTAGACCTGGAACTTGAGCAGGGATGTGGTGGGAATGGCAGAGGACTCATCCATCATCGGAGGCTGGTTAAATTCCCAAGATTTGTCCATTGACTTACTGATTTTCTTTGTGTGGTTTAGGTTCTCCATTGATGGCAGACATCATCCTTTTAAAAATATTTATCCCTTCCACTTCTATTGGAACTCCTCCCTCCTGCTTTTTCTCTCTAGCTATTATCTCCATCTGTCAACCAATGTAATTCCATGGTCTGTCTCTTCCCTGTGGTACGTCAGACAGCTTAGCAAAGGATTTTTGTCTGTTTGTTTTGCATACAGTGCCTGGGAGCAGCTAGTGGGTGCTTGGGCCACATTGGTTGAACAGATGTGGAGTGGATGTTGGAAGGGGTGGATATGAGGGCTAGTTAAGGGAGACATAGACAGTGACCCTTGTGTGACTGGGACTGTGGAAGGAATGATGGAAAATAGCAGAATCATAAGGAGCTAGCTAGCACACCAGGGAGCTCTTACATTTCTTCATCAGTCTTCTACTTTGATAAAAACAAGACATTACAAGATTTGTGACATTGACACTCAGGAATAATGTAACAATACTGATCAAGAAGTTGTTGTCTAAAACCTACTATTTTGAGATGTGCTGGTTGCTGGTGATAATGGAATGATGGTATTACTTTTATGTCTACTTCACCCCAGACTCCAAAGTGTTTCCCCAAATAGTGTTGGTGTATGTTTGTTTGTTGGGACTGGAGTTTGAACTCAAGGTTTTATGCTTGTAAAGCAGGCACTCTACTGCCTGAGCCCCACCTCCAGTCCATTTTGCTCTGGTTATTTTGGAGATGGGGTCTCTCTAACTATTTGATCAGGCTGGCCTCAAACCTTGATCTTTCTGATCTCAGCCTCCCAAGTTAATAGGATTATGGACATATACAGCACCTGGCTAGTATATGCATTTTAAAAAATTCATTTATTCACATATGCATGCATAGTATATGCATTTTTAAGTGGCATTTTCTGTTCAGTGACATACTGTGTTGCTTTAAACTAAGCATTATGTTTAAGTAACCACAGCCTTGTGTTTTTAGGCAAAAAAGAATGATAGAGGAGAACCATCACTAAATACAGTGAATTAGCATTTGGGTATCAGTAAGATGCTTTTCCTCATTGAGGAGGAGCTTGATAGTATATTAGAAAAATAACAGATAAACATGACTTTGTAAAAATAAAAAAGGAAGGCTTTTTTTTTTTAAATGGCTGCATGGTTGGCTAATTCAGGCGGTTAGCTGAGGGCAGCCACTTTGCTCACAGTCAGCTTGGCCATTGACTGGCATATAGTAACCTCAGGATCACTTCCAGGACCCCCTCAGATACCAAAATACTTGGATGCTCAAGTTTCATATAAAATGATGTAGCATTTGCATACATCATTCAGAGGTTCAAACAGAGCCTCTGTTCATACTTCTGTATACTTTAAATCCAATCTAGCTGATTTGTAGCACCTAGTACAATGTAAATGCTACATGAGTAGTTGCTATCCTGTACTGTCCAGGGAGTAATGACAAGGGGAAAAGTCTGTACATGATCAGTACAGATGCAATTTCTCCCACAAATATTTTCAATGTGAGGTTTATTGAATCCACTGATGTGGAACCCTTGGATACTGAGGGCTGACTGTATTTTATTTTTTCTTTTTGCCTCTGAGAAGGAATCTCCTGAGGAATGAGACTCTTTGAGACTAAGTCACATGAACCCAGCTCAGCAGATACCAGGAAGCCTGGTTGATGATTGCTGATGGAGATTATGATAGCCAGCCAGGCTGTCCTGGACTGTGGGCTGGGGACACTTTCTTGTTCCCTAGGACAAGGTCAGCAAACTAAAGCTCACAGGCCAAACATGTTACCTGCTTTTTAAAAGTTTTATTAAAACATTACATTTACATGTACAATATTTACATATTGTCTCAGGCTGCTTTCGAGATACAGAGGCAGAGCTGAAAGGTTGACAGAGATGGCCTGGCCTGCAAAATCAAAAATATTTATTATCTGGCCTTTTGCAGAAAAATGTTGCTGGCCCCACCCCAGGAAAAAAAACTTTGCAGGAAGATCACAGGCTGCTTGGTGAGCTCAGAATGGGGGTAGAGCTGCTGGTGGCTGACCTCAGAGGTCACTAACATACCTCCCTGTAGGGCCACTGGAGAGCCCTGAGGACACACGTGCTTTATTCCTTACTCCCTTGCCTGACTTCTGGGTTGGTCTGACTTCATACAGCTGTGTAAATGTACCTTTTGTTAGTTACCTCCTACCCCTGCAGCAAGTCCTAGTCAGGTTGATTGGAGGAGCTCCCTCAGTGACATGAGCAGATCAGTGTGTATTGTCATTGGGGCAATCCCCCACAGTCCACTGACCTCATCTGTTTTGTGTCCTGGTAAATTCCTTCCCCATCAAAAACAACCCCCTAAAAAAAAAACCAAATAAATGTAAGAGGACTTTAAGGTAGTTACCTATTCAAGGATCTTGCAGTGGAGCTGAAGAAACCTGAATTCAAGCCAGGCATGATGGTGCATGCCTGTGATCTCAGCACTCAGGAGGCTGAGGCAGGGGGATCAGGAGTTCCAGGCTGCTCTGGGCTACGTAGTGAGACCCTGTGTAAAAGCCAAACCAAACAAATCTGACCTCAGTACTAAGTCAGGCCTCCAGATTGAGTCAAGTTCATGGGTAGGAGGCATCCTACAGTGAAGGAGCAGCACTGTGTCTTGGCCAGGATGCCTGGCTTAGGGCTGAGGTGGACTGGAGCCTGCGGCAGTAGTGCACAGGTTTCTGCATGTGAATGTAGTCTGAGGCTGGCAGCATCTGTGTTCCCTGGCACTTGGTAGCTATGGAAATGCAGTCTCAGTCCCTCCTCCAGGGTGTGACATCTGCAACTAACAAGACCCCAAGTGAGCGGATGCATTCAAACCAGAGAAGCAGTGAGTGACCTAGCACTCTCACTTCTTTGTACTCCATGGTTTGGAGTGGTAAAGATGGTTTTTCCAGCTTAGGTGTGGATCATCCCTTAACTGGCTATGTGCTCTGTGAGGACAGAGGCTTTGCCCCATCCCTGTTGAGTTCCCAGCACCTTGCATGGTGTCTGGCAGAGCAGGTGTTCAGGAGACCAGACCTGCTGGGTGGGGAGTGAATGAGTGAGTGAACGGCCGCGTGCACACATCTGCACTGCCTGCCGAGTGGCACTGGAGCAGAGGTCAGCCCTGCGGGTTCCCTTGCACCATGAGTCCACACGTCTCAAGGGCTCTGTTTTCCCTCTTACCACAGAGTTACTGGCCTGACTATTTTCTGTCACTGGAAGTTATTTTAGAACCTAGTCAGGATACAGGGGAAACCTGATCTTGTACTGCAAGATGGCAGGATGTGACCTCATTCCTGCGTTTTGTGGTTAAAAGTTTTATTTAAAGTTTTGACATTAGACAAGCATGGTAGCACATATCTATGGTATCTGCTGCACAGGAGGCTGAGGTAGGAGGATCACTTTCAGCCTGAGAAACATAGAAAGACCTGTCTATTTCTCTCTGCCTCTGTCTCTGTCTCTTACACACACACACAAAGTTTTGACATTCAAGTATAAAGTAGGGGTGTACCTCATTAAGAATAAAGCCTCTAGATGCAGAACCATGGATCAGAAAGTGCTAGGCCAGGAATTCAGAACACATGGGTCTGGTCTATGGCTAGAGTCAACTGTTTAAGGACATTGGGCAAGTCACTTGCTTTTTTTTTGTATTACTGGGGCTTGAACTCAGGGCCTTCACCTTGAGCCACTCCACCAGCCCTATTTTTTGAAGGGTTTTTTTGAGATAGGGTCTTGAGAACTTTTTTTTTTTTTTTGCCCAAGCTGGTTTCAAACTGTGATCTTCCTGACCGCTGCCTCCTGAGTAGCTAAGATTACAGGCATGAGCCGCTGGTGCCCAGCTAAGTCACTTGCATGGAACACATGTATACATTCTATAAGTGTTAGACAAAGACATGAAGTAAAATTGACTACAGGTGATTCAGACAGTTCTGCTATAAACTTCAATGCTGTTCATATGGAACATGGATTGAATGCTTACAGACTTTAATAAGTATATTAAAGTAATGCAAGTAATATAGCAATAAAGTATATAAGTAGTATAAATAATGTATATTACTTAATTAAAAGAGGCAAATGTAAAAACCACCTTTAATCCCACCCACAACTCAGCAATAACTACTATTAAGTTTTTATGTCTACTTTCCACATTTTTCTATGCACAGTTCACATTGCATTATACAAACAGTTCATAGTATGTGGTTAGTATGTGGCAGGTATTTTGCCAAGACAATGAATTATATTGGTGAGGTTTTTGTTTGGTTGGTTTTTTGCTATATTTGGACTTGTGACAAAAACTTCAAAAGGTACCCAAAGGCTGGGTGGAGACTGGGAGGCAAGCCCCATCAAAAAGTTACTGAGACTCCTTTGCAACAAAAGAAGTTGGGGATATTTCACACCTGCAATCTCAGGCCGGCCCTGGGCCAAAGCGAGACCCTACCTGAAAAATAACTAAAGCAAAAAAGGCCCGGGTGAGTGGCTCACGTGGTAGAGCACCTGTCTGAGTTCAAACCCTAACACCTGCCCCCCTCCATAAATGTACGCAAAGTGCTTTCTGGACACTCTTTGCTTATGGGCATAACTTCCTCTTGTAGAGAAGTTTGATGATAGGTATGGGGACAGCCCCCTCCTCCACATGGGGAAAGGGCAGCGCAGCTGAAGGCAGAATTCCACTGTGTCCTCATTACTGCCCTCGGCACATTCCGTCTGATGGCGAGGTGCTCTTATCTTTTGGATCCATTTGCTGTGATAGAAGCTCAGGGGTGATATGTATCTCCATTCTTGTCCTGCTTTTAACTGGCTGTGCTTCCGCTTCTCAGCCTTGTGCAGTTGAACGCTGAGGTGCAGGATGGTTTGCAGAGTGGCCTTGTTGCTGAGCCTGGTCCTGGGCATTGCTGCTGTTTCCATCGGCGTGGACGATCCTGAGGATACGGGCAAGCACTGGGTGGTGATCGTTGCAGGGTCCAATGGCTGGTATAATTACAGGCACCAGGTAAGGACGCACCTCTTCTTTTCCCTTGCGATGCTGGCTTTCTACAGACTGTCAACAGTCATGGACATTGGTAGTAGAAAAGACTGGGTTTTGTTCTCACTATGTAGCTCAAGCTGGTCTCAAACTCAGGATCCTCCTGCCTCTGCCTCCTGAGTCCTGAGTGTTGGGATTACAGGTGTGTTCTAGAAAAGACTTGCTTTTTGGTGGTGGTACTAGGGTTTGAACTCAGGGCCTCAAGCTTTTAAGGCAGGTACTCTACCACTTGAACCATGTCCCCAGCTCTATAAAAGACTGTGAAAAGCCATTTACACACTGGTTAGGCTAGCTAAAATAAGTAAGTGGGCAAAGACGTGGAGAACTTGAACTCTCATACATTGCTTAGGGATTTATAAAGTGGCATAGACACTTGGAAAGTGGCAGTTCCTCAGAAGTCCCTATGCAGCCGTCTTAGTGCAGTTTCTCACCCTGAGCCCTGCTAATGGTTAGAGCCAGGCAATTCTTTGCTGGGCTCTACTGTGCATGTAGGATGTTTAATAGTGTCTTTGACCTCTACCTGATGTGACAGTAGCATTGGGAAAACCCAAAATAGCTTCTGGCACTGCCAGGTGTCCTGGGGAGCAAAACTACCCAGGCGGAGACCCAGTGTCTAACACCTTTATTTTCTTTTTATTTTTTTTTCATGTTATGGAGTTTGAACTCAGGGCCTCATGCTTGCTAGACAGGCATTCTTCTACTTGAGCCACTCCTCCAGCCCTTTTTTGTATTGGATGTTTTCAAGACAGGGTCTCAGGAATTATTTGCCAGGCCTGGCTTCGAATTGCGATCCTCCTGATCTCTACCTCCTGAGTAGCTAGGATTACAGGCGTGAGCCACTGAGCCTGGGTTACACCTTCATTTTATAGATGAGAAGACTCAAGCCTAGAGAGAGGAGGTGACTTGCTGAAGTGACAGGACTGGGGGAACATATCCCTAGACCTCTCTGCATTCCACATCTGTGCCTGCTGTTCTCCTTAACCCTTCCCACCCCACCCCACAGCCCCACCCTCGCCAATCTTTCTTGGCATTTCTACCAAATCAGCCTATGGAAGTTGGAGGAAAGACTCCCTGTGAACCTGAATTAGAAGTACAGCCACTTGCTGCGAAGGTAAACCTTGGCAGCTACTTTGGGAAACAGTCTGGCAGTTCCTCAAAAGGTGAAATATAGGGCTGGTGGCATGGCTTAAGTGGTAAAACACATGGCTAGCAAGCACAAGGCTGTGAGTTCAAATCCCTGTACTGCCAAAAATTAAAAAAAAAATGTAACAGAGTCACCCTACGATCCAGCAATTCCACATTGAGACTCAAGAGTCACAAAGGCCATGCCTTTTAATGATTTCATTTAAATGAAAGTTCAGATTAGTGGAATCTGTAGAGAAAGAAAGGTTGCCAGTGGCTGGGCAGAGGAGAGAACAGAGAGTGACTGCCAATGGATGTGGGTTCTTTTTTGGGGTAACGAGAATGTTCCGGAATTAGATGGTGGTCATGGTTGCACACTTGGCGAATGAACTAGAAACTTGTATATTTTAAAAGGCCAACTCTTCTGGTATGTGAATCATGTGTCAATAAAGCTGTTCCTTTTAAAAAATGCATTTAGTCTTTTCACTCTCAGAGGTAGGTGCATAGACTCTTGTAGAGTCCATGTTGTGGGCTCTCTTTCCAGAGCGCTGTGGACTCCTTTAATCTGCACAGTGGTGCTGTGTGGAGAAGGTTTGGCCCTTATTCCCTCTTTGTGGATGACTGGATGTAAGTGTGGGCAGGGTTGCTAGCTTGCCCAGTGAGGCACAGCTGGCAAGTGGGGGGGTCAGGATTCAGACCCAGATGGTGGGGATCGTCTCCCACCAGGAGAGTGCATGTGTCATCAGAAATTTCCTAAGTAGACACCTTTTTAAAAGTTGAAAAGTATAGGTGAAATTAATTTTAATTTTTAATTTTATTTAAACCAGAATGTCTAAACCTTTATTTCAACATATAGTCAAAATAAAATAAATAATTAGATACCTTACATTCTTTTTTTGTGCTGTCACTGAAATCTAGTGTTGGTTTGATTCCCACTGTGTCTCAGTTTAGACGGGCTACATATAAAGTGCTCTGTCGCCACCGTGGCCAGTGCCTACCATGTTGGGCCACACAGGTGTAGAGCCTTGGCAGCGCTGTGTCTCATGTGAGGAAAGGGTCAGGTAGGTTTCCCCACGGGGTGTCTGCTTTCATATCCACGTAGGTAGAGGGGGGCTGGCTTTGATGAAGTGATGACTCATTTCTTGAATGGTTTTTGTGTGCTAGCCAAATAGGAAACTCAGCTTGACTAAAAAGTTGTTATCGTGACAAAATAATCCCTTTTTCCTTTTAATACTTAACCACAGACCTGACCCAAATGGGGAAGAGCAAACCAAACTTATAACTGCAGTTTCTCCACCCACCCTAATCACGAGTGACAAAGATAAGTCCAAGTACAGATCACAGATAAGGAACACGCTGATTCATCAGCTGCCCTGGCTTTTATACAACCAGATCAAAAAACATGTATTGGTTAAGCATTATTAAATATGACTAGTCATCCTTTGCTCCAAACAAAAACCAAACAACCACAATAACAAAAAAACCAAAAAAACCAAAACAAAAAAAACCAGCGTCACTAGTTTCCCTGGGTAAAATACAGAATATTGAGATAGAAAGAAAGGAAGCAAAGTGAAAGAAGCGGGTATAGACAGAAATCTTTGACCCCCAAATAGGAAAGGATGGTGACATTGTGGCCACCAGCTGTGTGCTGTGTCCCTGTTGACCTGTCTCTGTTCCCAGCCAGCCACCAACACGTGCTTCCTTGGCTTTGGAGGCTAACCATGAAAGAGCATTTGAAAGAACTATCTCCAAAGAGTCCACAGCAGACTTTTAAGCTGACATACTTGTAATTCACGTTTTCCTCAGGTAAACACAAGCTCCGTCTTTGGTGTAGGGACATGAGCACATGAGCTTCCTGTGTCATTGCTGAGTGCTTCCTCATACCCCACGGTGCTTATTTCAACCTTGTTTTCTCTTGAACAACTTGCATTTCTGTTTTCCAACTTGGAACAATGGTGTGCGGGGAGGTGGTCTCTGGTGATGCTGGTGAGACATTTTTCATCTGATGTACTGAGCTGAGGTGAGATGGGTGTGGGTATCTGGTAACCTGGAACTTGAGAAGGGACCAGGTGGGCTGGAGAGTGAGGCAGGCCACTGTGGAGAACGGGCTGGGAAGAGGGTGCGGCAGGTACTTGGGAGCTGAGGTCCAATTGCAGAATAAACCAGGAAGAGCTGGGTGGTGGGAAGTGACACAGGAGCAGAGCTTACAGGGAGTGAATGGCTCTTCCTAATTCCTCTCCCATGTGCATGAGTCAGGGGCCGCTAAAAGTGCTGGCGATGCACGATGGCTCCCTGTCCGGTGGAGCCAGTGCCCATTTCTGGTGGAGGAATGCTGCCTTTACTGAGCTCCTGCTGTGTACAAGGCTCAGTACTAACCACTTGGCACAGATTATCTCATTTAATCCTCAGACAACCCACAGGATGGCTCCTGTCACAAACCTCTTTTGAGATGGGGAAATTGAGGCACAGGGAGGTTAGGTAACTTGTCCAAGGTCACAGAGAGTGATTTCCAGTCCACACTCAAGTCCCTCCCAGTTCTATGACAGGTATCTTAGCATTACTTTGTCAGGTTTTGTTTTTAAAATACTTTCCTTTCTGTCATATTACAGCATTGGTATATGTTAAGGGTCATTACAGAAAATTTAGAAAAAACAGATAAACAAGAGAAAACAAGTCACTTATCCTCCCAAGAGTTACTATTTCTGACACTACATTTTGTTTTTTTTTTTTTTTGGTGGTACTGGATTTTGAACTTAGGGGTTCACACTTGCAAAGCAGGAGCTCTACTGTTTGAGCCACACCTCCAGTCCATTTTGTTCTGGTTATTTTGGAGATGGGATCTTGAGAACTATTTGCCCTGGATGGCCTTGAACCTGGATCTTCCTGATCTTAGCCTCCCGAGTAGCTAGGATTACAGGCGTGAGCCACCGGCATCCAGCTTCTGGCATTGATTGCATTGTAACAAGGTGAGCCCCCACAGCAGCATATTCCAGGGTGTTGAGATGAACTTGACCCACGGCGCCATTTATGTTAACAGTTTTCACTTGGAGGTGTGTGGTTTGCAAGGAAGTATGTGGTGTAGGGGTGAGGTGGGGGGGGTATGGAGCACAGGAGGTGGAGCTTTCTGCTCAGGAGCCCCCAGCCTGAGCACAGGTCCCCACAGAGCTCCAAGTGCCAGGCTGGGGTCAAGGAATAGGGGAGGTCATGCTGGAAGGGATGGGAGGTTGGCTTTCTGAAGGAGAGGCTGTGGGTGAGCAATGTGAGGGGACTTCCGCAGAAGGGGGTCGGAAAAAAACAAGTGTTTCATGTAGAGGAGGGCATGAAGAAAACCACAGCAGAGGGAGTGACCAGTCCATCAGGGTGCCTTCCAGTGCACGGAGCCAGAACATAGCTTTGGGCTTGGAAGACCTCAGGTGTAGTGGCGGCTCTCCACTTACCTGCCACATTAGCTGAAATGTCACCTCTTCTCTGGGGTTGAAGGAGGGCTCAGGGAGGTGCCTCAAAGCCCCTATCTCACGCCTCGCTTCTAGAAGATTCTGATGCATGCCAGCAGGTGAGGTGCTGTGTATACCTGTCATGTGAGCACACCTGGCTGGAAATTGGACCTCTTCCTCCAGACCAGAGCACCCCAGCTGCATTTAGCCTTTCCTCCAAGCCACTCGCCTTATTTAGCTTACAGCTACTGCTATGGGTCACAGAGGCCACACAGTATGAGGACAGGAGGCTGTGTCAGGAAGTCATGGGATGCCTCTGGAACATGACTACTCTTAACCCCAGCTCTACAAGTGGTTGAGTCAGAGTCATCTCTGTTCCCATTGTACAGGACTCTGCCCTGGGGAGGTCTT